ATATATATATATATATTCATTTTAACTGTTCACATTTGAAATCAAATTTGGATGTATTATCCCAAGTAACATTTTCTTTACTATAAATTTTTAAACATGTAAAATAGCACATACCTTTAAGGCCAGGGAGACCTTCCAGTCCACGTTGTCCAGGTAATCCATCATTTCCTGGGGCTCCTGCTTCTCCAGGTTCACCTCTCATGCCTTTTAAATAAAATATTACAAAAAATAGTATAAACTACTGTTCTACATCTAAAATTAGAAAATATTTCTTACCAATGACCAATCTGGGTTTGTAATTAAGAACTGATACAGTACAAAATTGCACTTCTTAGTTGGTCAAAGTACAGCTAGGTTTTCCCATTTAGTAGGAAATAATAGGTTAGATATTGTGAAATAGTATTAGAAATTGATTGGTTACTTAAGTCAAATATAATATGATTTAATCAAAACTGGATATTTAAGCATGTGAATATAGCATTGATAAAACAGATTTAAATTTGGGGGTGGGGTGAAAGTACAATAGAAAATTTGGGTGATTTGCTGTAACTAGGTTACTCATTTATTTATAATTTTTTTAAAATATGCCAAGTAGAATTTTATGATTGTAAAAGTTTCTATACAAACAAATGTCATTGATAATCCTCTTTGTATGACAATCAGTGGTACCATTATTGCTATGAAAACCTAAATATGCATGAAATGCACATATATATTATTCATCGATAACATGTAAACATGGCTCACAGATTATACAACTCAATCTTTCATTAGATGGAAAAACACATCAACCACATGCTCTGCATTGAGTGTAGGTTCTTTGTGAATGTTCACGAGATCCGAGCCACTCTTTGATTATTCTTGACCTCGGGTAGGTTTTCAACAACCTAAGAATGAAGAATAATTTTTCAGATTCACGAGAGGCAGAGCAAAGTTGTGATATTCAGAAAATTGTTTCAGAGAGCTTAAGCAAACATGGCATTAACACCTTGACAGTTCTCAGACCCAGCCACTGATTTCAAACACTGGCACCAAAGTTGAATATCCTCTTTCACCAATGTCATGTTGTCAGAAAGATCAGCTTGGTAAATGTTCAATGTAAAGAGGATTTTGTCAGTGAAAATCTTATAAGGTGAAACAATTTATGGGATTCCAGAACCACCACATGTTTTTGAGAATGATTTAGACAAGAATACTTCAGTTCAGATATAAAGTGGTCTAATAAAGGAAAAAAAAATATTTCCCATACACACTAATCTTAAAACCTTGAGAGGGAGTGATAGACTTCCAGAAAGATTCAAGTCCTTTAGTATTGAAAGAATTATCAGTTCATGAAAGAGTTTCACATAATATTTCAGCTTTTTAAACTTTCATTTCCAAAGTCTCATCAATCCATTGCTGAAGATGCACAACTCTTTGGTAAAATAGAGGTGCAGCTCATTATCTCTGCTATGATCCTGGATATTTTCATGGCCTGAGTGCTGCAGCTCTTAAAAAGAATTTCAGACAATGTGTTTATATGGCAATTAATTACGTTTGTTTTATGATAGTATGCCCACAGTCCATTCAAATGAAGAATTTCCTGTATCTTTTAAGCAATCAATTTCCAGTGTACTTCCCCTCCCCCATGATAATTAGCTGTACAGTCTCCACATATATCAAATATATCAGGACTAATGTTCCTCATATAGATAGTTATTTGCTATTGATTATCACAATCCATCATTCCATCAGTGGTCACACTAAAAAATATCAACAGCCCAATTTTTTCCATTTTAGTTGACTGCATTACTGACCATCAACATCACTGAGTGATATAATGTTGAGATGTCTTAGTGATGTATGTAGCATTTGCTGTAGCAGTTTCTATACAATAATTAAGAGGATTATTACGAGCATCATTCCAAAAACTCAGTAATGTACAAAATATCTCTTTGTTGCATCCAACTTGCTCAACACTTTACTCATTTTTCCACTGACTATCATGATGTCCTTGAAGAAAGAGTTTGCAATAACTACAGGAAATAATAATCTTGTTTAATTCAAGCACTATTTGAAGTTTTCACTGTTAGATAATAAGTTTCAAATGTTTTTTGAAAAATGAGAAAGTGCTTAAACATTTTTTGAATATTATTCAATTAAAACAAAAACCACTTGAAATAAAGATCATTTAGCTATGTCAGTGCTCACCTATATGAATAGCAATGACTACAGGAAATAGTATTCTTGTTTGGTTCTATTGAACTTGTATTTCTTTAGCCATTTCATTACTAACATTTATAGATACCCTGTTATCAGTTATGAAGACTGCAAGAGACATTCTTCTCAGAACACATTTTGACATATTCCATTCTTGCATGACAATGAAGGTATTCCTGACTATCAGTGAACTGCCCAGTGAAGATTTAATGAGCCTCAATAAGGGCTGATGTTTTCCCTTACCTGAGCAACATGGATCAAAAGGAACACAGAATATATATTTGTTAAAGTTCAAAAAAACACTGTAGCCATTTAAAGTTGAAACTTCTATTCTGCTTCCCTCCTTGACTCTTTGGGAATTAGCAGCAATGACCTGAAAACCAAGCATTAATCAATGGTTCATACTTTGATACCTGTAATTCAACGCTTCAAAATATATTGTTTTTTTTTAGTGGAATGAAGCAGATCCCAATGCCTGTGGCTCAGAGTGAGGATCAGCCTGTTCAATAAATTATTAAGAACTTATAAGCCTACCTGCAACAGGTTATTTGAGGTTTATAATATTTTCTTTTTTTGGACAAAGTCCTAAACTGTAAAAATGTTTGGTTCTTTTCCTTATTACTGGTGGCTTATACTTTTAGTTCAATTAAGAGATTCAAAGTAGTTTAAGCTTAAAAATTCACAAATATAAAATGATGTGTTATCTGTTTACTACATCTATGATTTTTAAAAAGAAATACCAATTAGGTCTAACTACTTGAGAACAATGATTACATTCATAAGCCTACATTAAAAATTGTTTTAGTTTTGTAACTTATGAAACATCTTAATTTTATAATTTTACTATACACTGATATTATGCCTACCCTCAAATTGAAATTCTTTTAGACAGGATTAGAATAAATTAATCTATGAGACTATGACCTTCTGAGTCCAAAACTGTAATTAGATCTCATATTGGTCAAGAGATGAAATGACCAAAAACGTTTATGGAGGGTTAGCATCTGCATTTACAACTGGATATACTAAACTTGCACCTGAGAGAGTATTGATTGTTTCTGTTCAATTACACGTACAATAATGACGGCCATTGAAAGAAATTAACAATATTCTTAAATTTTACCAACATTTATAAATTTTATCAGGTTCAGAATCTAGAACAACAAAAATATCACACTGTAATAAAGTATTAACATATAAAAACTTGTGAGTAGAAAATAATACACAACTTCTGATCACATAATATCTATAGATAAATAGTTTGGGAGTTTTACTAAACTAAATTACATACCTGTTAATCCTGACAATCCATCTTTTCCAGGAATTCCAGGGGTTCCTGGTATTCCCTCCTTGCCTGGAATTCCTGATGCTCCTTTATTGCCTGGCAGACCAACTCTTCCTTTTTCTCCGGGAAATCCAACTCTCCCAGGTGGTCCCTCATTGCCTTTTTGTCCTCTTTGGCCTGTTTAACAGCAAAACACACTTACTTAATAATAAATGTAAGTAAGATAATTTACTAAAATGGGTGCTAATAATCAATTTCTTTTGTCATCAAGAAAAATCTGTCAAAATATGTTACTTCAGTTTTCTAGGATCACCATAACCATTACAGAATAGACAAAGGTTTTATTCAGTTCTATGATCCATATTTGTGACTATAAATCATACTTCATTATAATAATTTCATGTGGATATGGGTGATAAATAACATCCTTAAATGTTGGGTTCACTTTGTTTTGTTTTTTTGTGAATGACAAGCCATGTTTCATTGAAAGAACATACGTCTGATTACACATTTCTGTATTGTAAGATACTAATTATACAACACAGTAGAGAATGATTGTATATCATTTCATCTAAACTGCTAATAATACTAATTACAAAAATTCATAATTTGTACAATACATTAAACAGAACAGATAAAGAATTGAGAAATAAACAGTAACCAATTGTCATTAAAAATGATTATTTATTAAAACAACTTTATATTGTATTATCACTTTATGGTCAGCCTGTATCTGTACTAAGCTAAATTAAAGATTCACAGAAAAAACATTTAAAAGAAAGAGAAAAAAGTAAGGTATACATATATAAAAAAATTAAGTAAGAATTGGAAGATAAATAACAAAGGTTTTTTAAACTCTCAACTATAGTTGTCATATAATCAAACCAAAAAGGCTACCCTTCTGTCACTACTGGCATAAAATAAGATTGTTAATTTAAATATACAAAATTAATACCACAACAATCTAATTATAAAAGTCCCTTAATAAAAAATTTCCCTTCTTAAAGAAAGATATCTCATTCTGGGTTCATTGCCACTGATAACCTCTTCAAAGTGCATATTGTGTTATTTCTATTATTTTGATTCAAAAATATTAACCTAAAGGTACACTGACTCCTAAGTTATGTAAAAAACAAATTTTTACACCAGCCATTGAAAAAAATTAATTTTAACTGATTATTCACACCCAGCCTGTAAAGACAAAAAAAATCAGTATAGTAAAGGTTAAGTAGTCAGAGATATGGAGATAAAGGCCTCAAGAGAAAAAAAAGGTGGTAAATGAAAAATATTGACCTACAGGAGATTCAAAATTAGGATCACATTGGTACAACAAGAAAATATTCACATACAACACAAAAGAATGAAAACTTTGGAGCAAAGAGATACACAGTACAGAAGTCAAGTACATTATATTAAAAACTTTTTGAGCCTCACCATGTTGTTACAGTCCATGATGCAATAACCAGTCATGTTCTATTTGACAACCATGCATCTTGAAAATATACTTGCAGCATAGTTTCCATTGCAAAAGGTGCCATTGTACAGCTCTCACATCCAAACCACATCACCTCTTCCTGCATGTTTTCTGGAATGTTCTCAGTATCCATTCCAACAGTCTGATCTCACAGAAATCCATAGATGCTGAGTATGGCACATGAAGTAGCATGTATTCATATGGGATAGCATGATACCTGTTTCATTTTCCAGCTGCTTGAGGTATGCAAAAGCTGAAAAGATGTGCCATTGAAGTACCTCGTAGTGACTTTTTCAGGCAGGAATTCTTCTTTATTATACTGTTTACTGTTGCCTCAGACATGTGGATGGTTATTTGTCACTGTCCTTTGTGTTCATGAGTTCTTACCTGTTACAAGATGCCATACTTTGCATACCAGTGCTGGAGTAGAACAACCTGTTGCAGGTATATTTCTGGATGGTCATGGTAACCTAAGTTTATCCATATTCCTTTCTTTTCTAATGCCATTAAACATGAAGGCTATTCCATCATGGAAATTCTAAATCCCCAATTTGAACATGTTTTTATTATCCGAATATATGAATATTTTGTATTGGAAAGAATGTTACACCTTTCTCAAAAATAATTCATTCTCAGTGGAATCACACTACCCACAATATGCCAAACAATGTCAAACTGTAGTTCTGATATATTTCATTCCACCATGGTTTTATATCGGCTGTCATGTGACTTGCTGATTTACATATTCAAAATCGTTTTAATACAGAATACTCAACCTCTGTACACAAACCCATGTTAAACTCTACACCATGTTAACTATTAGACAAATTTATTGTGTTTCATAAAATGCTTTCTCTGCTAATGTTCCAACAACAAACAAGATAAAATAAAATCTGGACATTAATTTTTTTTTGTATTTCATGTACTTTTTCAATGTTCCAATTTATGCTACCCAGGGGTGTAAAAAGTACTAAAATATGTTACTCAAGTTCAAGTAAAAGTATCCATTCTGAAATTTACTTAAGTTAGAGTACAAAAAGTATCTATGAATAGGTACTCATGTAACAAAAGTAAAAAGTACACTCATTCTCTCAAACCCTACATGTATGTTGCAGTCCATGTGGTCTAAGGGGTTTCAGCCAACTCATGCAGGCAACTGTGTATGAACTTATTACAACAGTAATGCCAATAATGAATATTGTACAAATCTTATTGTTTCAGAATAAACTATATAAGAAATTAAAAAAATAAGAATATGAATTAAACCAACTATATTATGCACAAAATTTCTTATTCAATTTGAGAAGCAACTGGTTTTCAAAGTTGCCACAGTCAAGCCTTGCATGCAGAGGGCTGAAAATCTGCCCGGCACAACTGAAGAGATGCTCGTAGGCAGCAGAGGCAGGGAGTGGTGTGTTCATACATATGGCTATATCAGGTAGGTTGGAGAAAGAATTTATCTCCATGCCATTAACAGAGCATGCCAGGTATGCCTCTAGGTCCCTCTTCCCGAAGCTATGCTGTGGCTTCAGAGTCCCCATGCATGCCTTGCATTTTGACTGCCTGCCATAAATTTGAGTTTTGATAACAGTACTGAAATGTATAAAATGAAAGGTAGTAGAGTAAAAGTATAAGTAATTCTCCTAAAAAGTACTCAAGTTAGAGCAAAAGTATTTGAAAAATTAAATACTGTTTAAAAAGTAGATACTGACAAAAGTTACTCAAGTACTGTACTCAAGTGAAGTTACTTCGTTACCTTCACATCCATGATGCTACCTAACAGAGAAATACATCTTTTCAAGTGCTAGAAAAAACACAAAAAGAATCCTTTCTGTCATCTCATGTCACTTTCAAGAACTATCACACATGAAAGTGACATGTTTATGTATAAATATGAGATAAAGAAATATATTTTTAAGATTTGGTAATAGTTCAGAACAGAAGAAAAATACTTTAATATATTTCAAACATTCAGTTTTTCTTTACTTCAAAGGCTCTTCAAGTACTAGACACATTTGAACTAGCACTCATTAAACTGTTTTATATTTTATTAACATTACCATTAGATAATTACCTGCCACCAAAATACTGCCATGAATAATGAACATAAAAAATGACACAAATGTATACTGCTGGCAGATATTCTTAATTATAAGCTTTACCTGTATGTTTTTAAGATGTTCTTTCTTGAAATTAGTCATTATTTCTTAAATGTTAACAACACTAAATTAAAATAATTCATCTATGAAACAAACAATAATTATACAAAAAGTGCATATATTTGTGTTCTAATTTAATTTTCTATAATAAATGGAAAATTCCTTGCTGCTGAAATGAAAATCTAATTAAGTGTGGTGCTAATTAGCACTTTAATACATTGAAAACCTTTTCAAAATTATTCCAAAACATAATGCATTTCAGTACCGGTCACAGTAGCAGTCAGCAGTTGTTCTTCAAACATAACCATATTACTTACAAAATTTCCAAGTTCATAGATATCTTCTAATCACCTAAACATTTCCCTCATTCAAATATAAAAACCATTGTGTCTTCTTTGCTAAGAAATAATCGCATAAGATAAGTAATGTATGCATAATCACATACTTCAGGAAGCTGGTGATTAAAGGTAAGAATTCATAGTAGTCTTCTTCCACTAAGTACAAAATAAACCACCAACAAAACAAGGGATGTAATAAGAAGGCAAGGTTCAGAATTTTAAGAAAAAGAATTGAGAAAGATAAAGAAAGATTAGTTGGCTCCTTAATGTCTTTATTCTGTACTTTGTTCAACTTAAATATACTTTCTCATATCAAAACATTAATTTTATGTTTGCTTTTAACTTAATTTATAGTTAATCCGTTTATTTTAAATCAGGTACCAACAGTTATCCTAGGTCACAATAGTAAACGAATATTTAAAGAAAAAATAAAAATCATGAAAAAAAACTACTAATTTGTAAGTTGCACTTAAACTTTTCTTAATTTTGGTTTTATCTCTACATTTGTTTTTCCTTTGATGTGATAGGTCAAAGTTTCAATTGTTTCTTCGTAAAATTAATTTCGACTTTATTTCAAATACAAAAATTACCATCAAATCCCCTGAATCCAGGTTGTCCTGGAGGGCCAATAGTGCCTATTCCAGCAACACCTGGAACTCCTTTCTCCCCCTTCAGTCCAGGAAAACCACTTTGTCCAGCAGAACCTTTCAAAAACAATCAGCTGTTTTAAACACTTACAACTACTGCCTGATGTATCAATTGATAACACAGATATACCATATAACTGCATTATAATATAAAATATGTTAGAAAAATTAATGATTTTACAATGCTATTATTCAAGTTGTTTTATGTTATGGTGGTTTTAATATATGTTGCCCAGTATTAGAGCATATTATATTGCAGAAGTTCAAAAAAACAGTGAGTAATACTACTATCAAGTAATTCTACAAAATTATTAATATGGCACTGCTGGTTGGAAGAAAAAGATTTCTTTACCAGCTTCTGTGAAAGAACTGCTAAAAATATAACTATCATTTATCAACTTTATTGCCCCAGTGGTTAGTAAAGAATTGTTAAACATTATAAAAAGTGTATAAAAGTAAATAATTATACATATATGTATATATATAAATATATATATATATATATCAATTCTTTTCATAAATATATCAAATTGGTAATAATATATTTCTATATTATCCTAAAATTTTACTGTTAATATTCATGAAATATATTTCTAAATTCTACTGTTCTTTAAAGAACTATAATTATACCTTTAAGCCCTGGATCTCCTCTAGGACCAGGTACCCCAGGTTCTCCATAAAATCCAGGAATTCCATAATCTCCTTGGTCTCCTTGTCGACCAGGAGGCCCCCGTAATCCATAGGGACCTTCTTGTCCTTCATCTCCAGGTGAACCAAGTGCACCCTAAAGATTTTGTATATATATCATCAGTGATATAGTACATTACACCATGATTATGAAAACTGTATAAGATATACATTATTTCAGTCACTAAAAAGAAATTCAGTAAAATTCTACATATCTTATCCTATTTAAAGCATCTGTTTTAATTCAGTGGTTAAATAAAAAATTTTAAATTTTGAAACAATAATTATCTATGCATGGTTTGAAAATTTTAAACATTACTTTTATATAATTACTTATGTTTAATATTCCAAATTAATACTCTAGTTTCATATAATTATTTATTTTACTAGGCATTAATGCATGATTTATAATATTTCAACTACTTTTATATTCTTTTATCAGGTCTTTAGGAAGTTGTGAGATTAGTTTTATATGATATATTTAAATTTTGCACTTTTTTCTACCATTCAATTAACTCATAAAAAAGCATTTCCATTTTCCAAATTGTCAAGTTGACCAATACTAGCTTAAAATTCTATTTCCTTCATATTTAAAGAAAATCACATTGATATTTAACATTTCATCTTTGTGGTGTTGTACAGAGCTTCATGGTACAAAAGATACAGACTTACAAGATGGAACATACTCATGAATGAATCAAGATATTTAAAACAAATACTGTCCTTGAGGTTATTAACAAAACAAAAATGTTATAACATATTCTAAAACATCAAAATTACAATGAAACATGTAAATATTTTAATGTTCATTCACAGTAACCTTAATATTTCAGCTGTAAATATGATACATGAACATTGCATTTTAACCAAGCACGCATGTTCAATATAATTTAACATCATAAAAAATATCACAGTTGTTTTCTTAAAAAAATGGTGACATTGTTGTACTTTTATTCTTTCATTGGTGAGTACTTTTGAGTTATCTGATGAAAATAATCCAACATTCAGTCCACGAAATGAAGTTGAGAATTTGACCATTTTTAGTACTTTTTCAATATCAGAATCAACTAGTTGCACTGTTGTATGGTGATGTGTGCATGTGCATTACTAAGGTGGGAAATTCAAGGATGTGTGAGTATCCCAACTGTTGCGCTATGAAGAAAAGTTTTTGTGACACTGTGGGTAAATCTGCTCGTCGCACTAAACGGCTATAAAGGTCAAGTCAAATAAATCCGATTATAGCATCCAAAGGGTTAACTATATTCACTCTGCAGACTTACCTAGTATATTGATTGACTCAGCCATACTTATATCTAATCCTTGTTCTAGATATTGTTTTGCAAAGTCACTAGGTTTTCACAATGTCAACTTAGAATGTTCTAGGCTTACTCACACGAACTTACTTGATTCTAACATCATGCACCCTCTAGCTAACAAAAACTTATGACATTAAAATATAGCTTATAATAATATGTAGTTCTCAATTTCAATGACCAACCTCGTTAAAGGTAAAAAACACAATATTTAAAGGAACTGTGAAACAGCAAGTCTTTAAATACATATATATATATTAATGCATGGATTTAGCTAGTTAATCATAAAATCCTTGTAAGTTTCATTAAGGGAAGGAAACTGTTCAATTTAACTTTTAAAGTTTTATGCAATAGCTCTAAAAATTATATTACATGAAAAAAATTATATTTAATTCATTAGATCCTGTGTCTGACTAGATAATGAAATTAGATATGTTAGATACTTTTACTGATTTATTTATAACTCAAGAAATTGACAACAAACTTCACTGTTGTAGAACACCGAGTTCCTGAGACATACACAATCCTCTTAATACTTAAACAGGGACAGTAAAATAATGTATCACATGAAGTATTCACTATATCTACCTTTGTTCCTGGATGTCCATCTAGACCTGGTTTTCCTCTAATTCCAGGCAGTCCTGGACTTCCTGGAAGTCCAGGATCACCATCTATACCAGGATACCCTTTTCTCCCTGTTTCACCACGAGGAGAAGCTCCTTTCCTGCCAGGTTGTCCAGCACGACCATTAAGACCCTTTAAACCAGAATAGCCTTTCGCACCAGTAATACCTAAGCAAGAAAATTTTTTAAAACTGAAAGAGCAATTCAACAATTTTTCTGGTTTTCTTTCCTCATTGTTAATATCTTATCTTATATTTCATATAATACTATTTCCTCTTTACAGAATGTTTCACAAATTACATTAATTCCATATGTCACAAGGCAAAATTCCTGCAAGAAGGAAACCATGTATATTACAAAAGGAAGGTTTATATTCTCCTATTTAACTGTTAAGAATTATTATTGATTGTAATGTGGAAATGTGCTAAAATGTATAATTTTTCATTAGTTTAGTTGGGTCTTGTAGACAGCATCTAAATAAATATGATAATGTCTTATTTCAAATTTTTTTCAGTTTTCTGTTTGTTGCAATTCAGCAAGCATTAGTATAAGCATAACTATTATATTAATGGTTTGATGTAAATTTAGTTTTTCATATCTTTCAGTTGACACAGTACTCTTAAACTGACAAAAGTCAAACTAAAAAACAAAATCCAGCCTAAGAACTCAAATAGTCCTCTAAAACAATTTTATGATTAATACATGTGATAGAATTCTATATGTTTTTTCTACTAATGATAGATCCAACAATCAAGTAAACCAGATACCTCTGTTTCCCTTTAAACCAGGTACACCAGGGTAGCCTTTTGGACCTCTAAAGCGAATATATCTTTCATCTTTTTCCAATCTATCCAAAGGAAAGGGTTCTCCTTTCTCACCTATGAAATTGAAATTTAGGAATGCAATATCTATTCTTTATGGAAAAAAATACAAATAAAATAACTATATACAGTATAAAACAAATAATAAAATAATAAATCACATACTATAGATTACTCAAGTTAAAAGAAAACTTATGAATTCAAAAAGCTTTTCAAGATAACCTCTAATTTGAACATTTATTTCATACAGTATGAGCTACTTAAATAATTATAAGTTTTAATTTTATCCTACTTACACATTATAAAACATGAGTGATTTAATTACTGATATTTTTACACTGTCTCTTACTTCTTATCCACCAGAAACACTAATCACTTAACTACTAAATTTCAGTGTCTGAAAATAGTTTGTCAACAACAAAACATGAGTGACTCAATTACTGGAATTTCACATTGTCTCTGAAAAAGTTAATCATTAAAAGGAGCAACCCAATTACATGATGTTCACTTCACATGTGAACTGCTTATCTAATATCAAATATGAGTAACTTAATTACTAGAACTTTACATTATCTGTGAACCACTTAACAATTAACATCAGTGACTTAATTACTGGAGCTTCAAATTATCTATAAACTACTTTTATATTAACATGAGTAACTTAGTTATCAGTGTTTCACATTATATATAAACTATTTTTCACCAACATGAGTGACTTAGTTACTAGTTTCAAATTATCTGTGAACTACTTTTCCACTAACATAAGTAACTTAGTTCCTAGTGTTTCATGTTATATGTAAACTATATTTCCATTAACATGAGTAACTTAATTACTAGTTTACTAGTGGCTCTCAAAATAAAAGTATGTTTAAAACATAGGCAACTTAAGTACTAGATTTTTACAACGTTTTGGCCTATACTTACTTGTCTAGTATCATACATGAGATATCTAAAAAACTATATTTAAACTTTTCTTTGAAGGATTTACTTAACATACAAAATATGGGATAATTATATTACCAGATTTTGGAATTTTAACTACTTTAACCATACAAACAGACTTAGGTATTTAACCTACATAGTGTTTTTGAACTTCATCTCCTACATTTAACCATTCTTATACACTGAATTAATTTTAATAGTTTCATGAACAAAATCATCCATCATACAGAAGGTAAAAAAAAAATTACTGGAACATCATACTGATTATAATCTATGTATAAACCACATAATGAGATTTGTCAACCTTCATACTGTTTCTGATCTACTTAAAAACCATGTAATGAGATTTTCCATAGTGTTTCCAATCTGAACTAACAACAATACACTGAAATTTAGCAGAATTTCGTAGTGTTTTTGATCTATTAATCAACCACAAAATCAGATTCAGAAATGACCTAAATAATCACTACATACAGACTTGACTACTGATACTTCATGGTGTCCAGTATTAAAGTCTAGTTATATAATGGAATGATGTATGTCAAAGAATGATGTAAGTCAAGGACACGGTGAAGTATCGGACATCATGAAGTATCAGTATTAAAGTCTAGTTATATAATAGTATTAAAGTCTAGTTATATAATGGAATGATGTATGTCAAACCATGAAGTATCGGTCCTTGACTTACTTCATTCCATTATATAACTAGACTTTAATACTGATACTTCACCGTGTCCTTGACTTACATCATTCTATTATATAATTAGACTTTAATACTGATACTTCATGATGTCCTTGACTTACATCATTCTATTATATAACTAAACTTTAATACTGATATTTCATGGTGTCCTTGACTTACATCATTCTATTATATAACTAGACTTTAATACTGATACTTCATGATGTCCTTGACATACATCATTCCATTATATAACTAGACTTTAATACTGATATTTCATCGTGTCCTTGACTTACATCATTCTATTATATAACTAGACTTTAATACTAATACTTCATGATGTCCTTGACATACATCATTCCATTATATAACTAGACTTTAATACTGATACTTCACCGTGTCCTTGACTTACATCATTCCATTATATAACTAGACTTTAATACTGATACTTCACCGTGTCCTTGACTTAC